ACCACTGCCGAAGACTCGGCGGGGCAACACTGCACTCCTGTTGTTTCAAGACCACTTCACCGGGTTCGTGATTGCTAAGGCAATGAGTGAGACTGGGGCACTTGAGGCAGCGAAGGCCTTCGAAGAGAACGTGTTCCGGAGGTTTGGAGCTCCATCACTGGTACGCCACGACAGAGATCCCCGGTTCATGAGTGAAGTGTTCCAGAAGTTCTCGGAGATGATGCAGTCCAAGTCAAGAGTGACGCTGAGTTACCGACCACAAGCCAACGGTCAGCAAGAACGCTCAGTGAAGACCATGATCCAGACTGTGCGTGTGTACGTGGAAGACCCTCTCCAAGCCGACTGGGATGATGTAGCCGAGAAGCTCCATCAACAATTCGAGAGACTCGACTCGGCGGGAGACCCCGTTCTACCTGGTACACGGATGGGACGCTCGGTCTACACTCAAGGCGATGACCGAGTCAGTCAGGCTCGGCAGGGGCAACTCAGCTAACTCAACGCGGGCAGCCGAATGGCACAGGGAAGCAAACCGACAGAGAGAGGTGGCTTTGAAGCTTGCGACCGAGTTCCAGTTGAAGGAGAAGAAACGGAGAGCGAAGGAACATAATGACGGACTCAGCCGAGTCGAGCAGAGAGCTGTCCCAGCCGGGGAGGAAGGGACGGATACCCCAGCGAACTCACCCGAGGGAGCAGCCGAGTCGACTGAGGAAGGTGACGAGTTAGCCGAGTCGAGGAAGTCACTATTCAAGGAAGGTGACCAAGTTTGGTTGTTCATGGAACGAGTCAGACCTGGCTTGACCAAGAAGTTAGCACATCGATGGCATGGGCCATTCCGAGTGAAGGAGAAGGTGGAGGAGTTTGCCTACGAGCTCGTATTCCCGGACAAGAGCGGATACCGTTTCTACCCTGTGATACATGTGTCACGTCTGAAAGCGGTCACGGGACTCGGCGAGCGGCCGACAACTAGGCTAGTAGCCGACTTAGCCGAGTCGGATCGTCTCGACTTTGACGAGGAACTCCTTCCTGAAGATAGCTGGGAGCCCGACGAAGCAATGGATGAATACAAAGTCGAAGTCATCCTGGACGACGAGTTGCCGCTCTCTACGAGCACCTCCAGAACTCAGCGGAAGTTCAAGGTCAAGTGGGTCGGCTATGATGAGCCAACCTGGGAGCCGCTGTCGAATTTGTCGTGTGGGGGACTACTTACGGCAGAAGAAGCGTGAAAACCGTCTGCAAATGGTACAAATTGCAGACGAGGATTAAAGCTATTGCACCAAAATGATGAACCCGCCAACTCAGTGAAGACAGCAGGCTGAGTTGAGGCGAAGGAAGCTACTGCGTCAAATTGCATACATTACATGAATTACACCGAAGAAGGATGGGAAAGGAAGAAGAGCTCGGCGGCTGAGCCGCACGTTACGGAGACGAAGGACCCTGTGAATGCGCGACAGAGGACACGACGGTAGCAGCAGCCGCAGCGAGGAGACCAATCGAACCTCCAGTGTTCGTAGCTGAGCCGGCCGAGCTATCCGCTGCTCCCGCAGTCTGCACAGCCGAGTCCGCTGAGCTTGAAACCGGAATAGCCGAGTTGTTAGCCAGAGGGACACTCGATCCTGCGCTCGACTCAGCTGGAGACCCAGGTGACGCCGGACCAAAGAGGGAAGCCGTGGGAGAAGGGCCGCACACGTTAGGCGACCCGATCATAGGAGACGCCGGATCCGCATCGCCAGCGGCCCAGCCCAGCTCACCAGCTTCACAACCTTGGAAGATGTGGATTCCTGCACGGTTGACCGGAGTCGGAGCACTTGACGAAATCTGGGGAGGCGCAGGCTCGTCGAGGTCCACATCTTCATCGACAGCATCCTCGACTAGGCGCGGATCCACATCAGCGGGAGCGAAAACCATGAATTCCAAGTTACGCGTCCGGAAGCAGGTGTTGTACGGGTGCGTCGCTGGGTCGGTCAACCACCAAGCTCGCCAAGGCTCGGAGTCGTCTATAGACTCGGCTTCAGCACACCAGTCTCTGCCCGCAGGAATCCAAGCAAGATTGACCAGCGGGTACAACGGGACCGACGGCTCGAAGAAGAGCTTCGCGTCGATTTCCGGGGCAGCAAGCCCGCCGAGAAGCTTCATCACTGCAGTGAACAGGTCGTCCGGCAGGATAGTCATGAGACTTCGGAGGGCATCGCCTCGACGCTTGCGAGCCAACTTGTACAACACCCACGTGTTATACATCTCGGCTATCACGTGATACGGGAGCCCCGTGTGAAAAGCCGGATGTAGCCCCATCAGCACACTCGACTCGACCATCCAGTGCCACCGCTCGAACAGTGCTACGAAGAACTTCTTAGGACCCTCTTTGTCACAAACCGAGTTCGGAGCCTCTCCGCGGATCTTCACGAACACTTCTGCGAGACGCTCCATCAAGGTCACCGACTTCACCGAGTTCGTCAACCGGCGCTTGGCATCGTCGAGGACTTGAGGGGAGAAGAAGATAGGAGCAGACGAAGGAGCCGCTGAGCCGGGTGATCCGGATGGTAGACGTCCGCGAACGCTTTAATCCCAGCGAAGGAACAGAGCGTAACCGGCACACTACCCTTCCCCGACGCGTCATCCACAGTGACCTTGGCCGTTTGATGGCTGAGGATAGCCTCCCAGCACCGCCGAGACCCGTAATGAACGAAGCGGATGTCACGCAGCTGAGCTAGCTGGGGAGTGATCCGGGCATCTCGGCCGACCGCCTGGCGAGCTCGAGTGCGCAGCTGAGCGAGCGAATAGCGTAAAGCTGCAGGCAACTGAGGGAGAACGTGGGCGCCAGCGTCATGAGCGGTCACGATAGGCACCGACACGGTTGAAGCTGGACCAGCAGAAATAGGCGACGGCGAAACAGCCGAGCTCGACGGGATGCCAGAGCTCCCAGCCGAGTTGTTAGTCGAGCTGGAAGCGGCAGAAACCTCAGCCGGACCGACAGCCGAGTCCCCAGCCGAACCTCGCTGACGCTTGGACGGGCGGGGGTCCTTAGCCGAGTCCGGAGACGCAGACCTCTTCGACTTCTTTGACCCTGCCGACTTCGACTTCGACTTGTGTTTGTGCTTGTGTTTGTGCTTGAGCTTGTGCTTGCCCTTACCGCTCTACATCTTGGAACTCGGCTGTGAGTCTGAGTCACCTGACTCGCTGGACGGAACGAGAGGCGATTGACGAGCAGCCATGTAGCTCTGGATCTTCCCGTGCGGAGGTGGGAGCGCAGAAGCTAACGAAGCCCGGCGAGATGCGTCAGGGTCGGCCGAACTGAGCTCGTCAGCAGATCCAGGGTCGTCAGCCTCAGATTCAGAGCTCTCGGACACAGACAACGGATGTGCTGAGGTTCCAGGAGCATTCAATCCAAGAGCCGAGCCCGACGAACCAGAGGAAGAGCTACGCCGAGCGGACCGGAGGACGAGATAGTCAGGAGTCTCTAACAGATCCAAGCAGTGAGCGTTCAACACTGGGCAGTAGCCGCAGTGGAGCGTAAAGGGCGACCCGATGGAGAAGTCATCCCAGCTGAGCTAGGAGGAACCGCTGGCCGGGTCGAGGCCACCGACGGAGTGCTCGGCATTGGGGTGACTACAGTCGACGCCACCCCTGACGGGCCACGACTACTCTGGGCTTGATTGGCAAACCGGGAACGCGTACATGCCAAGAGCCGGTGAGCGGCCGAACCCGGAGAAGACTGCGAAACCCGAGGCGGAATCGCAGCGGAGCTGTTAATTGTACCCGCAGCCGAGACTCCAGCCGTCGAGCTCGGCGCAATCACAGCATGGGTTGTAGCAAGCGCCGGATCGGGAGCAGAGGAACCCGGTTGTCCTCCGGCGCCGACAGTCGATGTCACCACAGCCGCGCTCGGCACGCTGGTCGAGGGAGGAACCCACCGGACACGAGTCGGGAACGGAACCGAGGCAGGAAGCGAAAAAGCGGACGGAGTTGCAGCAAGGTCAGCAGATCCAGGCAACGATACAACAGCCACTCCGCTTGAAGGCGTCTGCACCGGGGAGGAAGAGTAAGGCACGAGTTGCACGGGCGGCACACTCACGGTCGGGCCGGCGGGCCCCCTCGGATGCTCGGCGGAACCAGGCACTTCGGTGAACTCGAACGAGAGGTCCTCTTCCAGCGAGTGAACCTCGTCGCCGGCCTCCACATTCACATCGTCGACAGTCAACCCGGTTAAGTTCAAGCTCGACCGGAGCGATAGGTCGCATGCGGCGTCAGTCTCTTGGGCAGCCTTTTCAAGCCGGACCAACGCGTCCTCGTGGCCGACCTCACCAGGAAGTGGACACGCGTACGGCTGCTCGAGTGGCTTCTTAGGCTTGCGCTGAGAACCAGCCGCCGTCGCCGACTTCGGGTTTGAGTAGCGACGTAATTTTTCAGCAGGTGTCAGAGTATCCAGCCGAGCTCGGTGAACCTGGTCGACCGACTTGCCGTGGCGACGGCGCGAAGCAGAAGTGGACACAGGCGCCGAAACTGCACCAGCCGACACAGGATTGGCGGCAGATGATGCGGGAGACTCGCTTGGAGGGGCCGGAGCCTCAGACCCAGTCAGCCGGGTTGATTGTCCAAGGAAAGAACCAGCCGAGCTCACGGGCGCTGGCAGAGTAGTAGCAGCGCCGTCCGTGCGCGGGTGGATGGCCAACTCGACTCGACGAGTCTGTCCAGCCAGGATGTCCATCACCTCCGGGAAACGTTGAGCCAAGATCCGGCATAACCGAGCATTGAGCTGCAAGTCAGCAGAGCTCAACCCAGGCGCGTCCAACCCGGCTGCAGCTGCAGCAGCCATGTGAGGATCATGCATGGGTAAAAGACCCATGCGAGAAATGACACGCTTCTGTCGGAGGATGACCTCACGCTGGTGTTTGATGGTAGCCTTGGCATCACGGAGAGGCTGGGCGTCTCCAGAAATGAGTAGCCGAGCCGACTCCTGCAGTTGCTCGAAGTGCTTGGTCGAGATCTCCTTGAGCACAGCGTACTCGGTGTCACGAGCCGAAAGAAGCCGAGTCAAACGCTCAATCTCCGAGTCGCGTTCCCTGAGCTGCCTGCCGAGATCCTTAGCGTGAGCGAGAGCCGACTTCACTTTATCATCCTGAGACTTGCGGGTCGACTTCAAGGAAGCTTCAGACTCGGCCATCGCCTTCCGGAAGCTGGTCAGGAGAGGGGACGACTTCTTCGACTCGGCTTTCCATCGGTCACGCTCCTCCTCGACAGTCTTCAACCGTTCCTCGAGGTCGGCCTTCACAGCCGCCTGTGAATACAGCCGCCGAGTCAAGTCAGTGTTAATAGTCCGAGCAGACTCCAGCTCGACCCTCGGTGCAGCGACGTCACTAGCTTGAGTTGAAGGTTGGTGCTGACCGCGAAGGAGGCTCACGAGTTCGCTGACGGACGTCGCCTCGAGGGCAGCTCGGCGGACCTCTCTATCAGCCGCCGGCGCGGGACGAGTGCTCACGAATGACAACAGCCGAGCCAAGTCCGTGTTCTCGATGCGGCGTTGCTCGGACTGCGCATGGATCAGCGCAGCGAGAGAGTCGAGACTCACCGGCCCAGCCGAGTCCGACCGACCAAGGTCGGCGGCGTCTGAAGTGGTGTCGCCACGCGGACTCGGCAAGCTGCGAGGAGAAGTGCGAGATGCCGGCTCAGACTCCCGGTCGAACCCACGGGAAGTTGTCAGATCGATGACAGGGTGCTCCTGCCCATCGCTGACCCCGCGAGCCCGGGACGCCGACACGACCAACTCAGCGAACTTCCCCTCATCTCGCGCGGGAAGATGTGAAGACTGCAAAGACGACGCAACTGAAGTCTGTGAAGATCAGTAGAAGAAGGGTCAGCAGCAGAATGGATAGAGCCGTCGGAGGCGAGGAACGTACCGGAGGAGCGGCAGGAGCGCCGGACGACGACATGGCGCGGAGACTTGTTCGCTGCCGTTGGAGTTTTGTCCGAGATTGGACTCGACTCAAGTAGTGATGGTCAGGTCCCTCACCAACTCGGCTCGAAACATGACCGGGGCAGTTGTGGTGTAGGAAACACCAGATTTCGCGCGACCAACTCGGCTGGAGTGGTACACTGTACCGGTAGCCGAGCTCAGCCGAGTTCACCACCTTATCCGGACACCTTATCCGGCTCAGCCGAGTTCGAAGAATTGTCCGGGTAGCTCATCCGGACCAGCCGAGCTCAAGCGTCGCCGAGCTCAGCGAAGAGTCGGCCGAGATCCAAAACCGCCCACTTTCATTTGGTATTTGTATAGGAGCTTAGGAATAGTGGAGGTGCCCCTTCAGGGCGCCCGACAGAGATAACAAACAACAGAGCAGAATTTTCTAGGTCCACAACACGTGCACGCGCTTCCAGTAAGTCCCTGCACGGGCCGGATTATGTCTGCTGTCAGCACCCGAGAGGCATAGCTTGTAGGGTGTTGACTGGTAGCGCCAAGAGATTAAGGTCGGCCCGGGTTGGGCGCGTGTTTCGCCAAGCGCGAAGGAAAAGTCTCGCCACCGCTGCGAGCCGGTGTTCCCGTACGTCCCGGGCACTGATTGCTGAGTCGAGAAGCCTTTGCTCTCGGCGACCTGTAAAAGCGCTCCGTGCGCCGTCGTCCATCCTTTGGTGGAGGGCACAGGGTTGAGTGAACGGAGGCCGTCGAACTCGGCGGTTCTCCGGAGGAGTGATCTTGGTTGGCAGGTCTCGGCGAGAGGCGAGACACCCGCTGTCCCGGTTGGGCCGAACCGCTCGGGGGCAACCCGGCGCAGGCCAACAAAGCCGACCAGCTCGGCTATTGTTGTGTGTGTGTTGTTGTGTTCGTAGCCAAGTTAGCACAACTGACGATTTTGTGTGTACTGCTATACCACATTCCGGATCCTACAGAGCAAGGTGGTGCGATATTCCGGATCCTACCGAAGACAGATCGAGGCCGTTCGACGATGAAGAAGCCAGGAGTGAGACCGACAATCCCCCCAACCAGTGCAAAGCATTCATCGATCTGGACGTGTTTGACAGCGACAACTTCATGGAAGGGCTGCGCAAGGAACGACTGTTTGGACCGACTGCTGAAGATGACGTGAACGTTGTAGCGACGGCTGATTTGAGTGACTGCGAGTCCGATGCGGATGATGAGGATGTTATGACCGACAACGCCATAGCTCCAGAAGGTGTAGAAGACGTAGACGACGTGGAAATGAATGAAGGTGATCTCGACACTGTGACGTTTGATTTGACTGATGACGATCTTCGGACCATTGCGGAAAGTGGTTGGGTAACCTACGAGGAGGAGCACAGCGGTAAGCCGGATGGTACAGAATATGTGGATGTACAGTTGTGTTAATTCTGTATTATCCATCTTTATGATGATTCAGGAAATCTCCAAGTCGACACCGCAACGGACTATTACGACGGGAAATATGGCCCCACCCGTTCTGCTATCGCCTACGCGGATTTCCCGTTGGGCATGTTCTTCTACTTTCTGACCAAGGAACTCTGGATTCATATCGCTGAAGAGACAGAGCTCTACCGACTGCAGAATATCCCAGCAATGGCAATCTCTCGCCGAGAGAAGTTGCTAGCCCGACAAACCAAGGATCCGCGCGTGAGTGTGCCTAATGTGGAGGATATTGAAGCAGACTTGAACAAGTTCAAGCCCATTCAAGCGCATGAGATCGTGCTCGTCCTAGCGCTGCTCTTTGCTAGGGTTGTGGCGCCAATTCGGGATGGCCTAGCTCACCACTGGTGTACTGACGAGGATGGGGCTATTCCGCGCGGAACCTTCTCAGGCTTCATGAAACGCCGCCGCTTCGAAGACATTATGAAGTTCCTGCACTTCAACAACAATGAGGACGCCGGGGCCCACGCTGACAAGGCATGGAAAATTCGACCGGTGCTGCAAGCAGTCGAGAAAACGTTTCGTCGTGGATATCGGCTGGGGAAGGTCATCTCGTTCGACGACGGAATGATGCCGAATCGCAGCAAGTTCAACCCCATGCGCATTTTTATGCCGGACAGGCCCAGCAAGTACGGCACGAAGTTCTACATGACGTGCTGTCCTGAAACTGCATACTGTTCTAGGTGAGTTTTCCTGTTCTATATTCCCTAATCCGGATCCTACAGAATAAACTAATCTGTATCTATGGTATTCTGTATGCATACAGAGTTGAGATTTACTGTGGTGCAGACAAGACAAAGAAGAAAAAGAAGAAGGCGCCCACAGAAACATTGGGGCTGGGACCAAAGGCTGTCGTGAGGAACATCTCGAAAGCGCTGATCAACCAGCCAATGAAGCGCTTGATTGTGACGGATAGTTTCTACTCCACAGTGTTGCTGAGCTTGAAGCTGCTCCGCATGGGCTTGTATCACGTTGGCACCACGAGAATCGATCGCTTGGGCTGGTGCCCGATCCATTTCACGCAAAGCAAACGCCCGCAGCGGATGCCAAGAGGTACCTACCGTATTGCACAAGCTCACGACTATCCTGAACTGGTTGCACTGAGCTGGATGGGCTCTAAGCCGGTGAACATGCTCTCCACGGGGTGCAGCACCCACGTGACTAGCGTGCTGAGGACGGAGAAAGATGGAACGCGTAGCACGGTGCCTTGTCCGCAGCTGGTCGTGGACTACGGCCTTGGCATGGGAGGTGTCGATGTCCACGACCAGCTACGACTTCAGCGTTACAGCATCCAGCGGTGTATATCCCTGCGCAAGTACTACAAGCAGTTATTTCTGTGCCTCCTCGACATGGCTGTCGTCAATGGATACATCGTGCATTGCTGGGTGCTCAAGGAAAGAGGAGAAAAGCCACCTACCCATGCTGAGTACTTGCGCCGCTTGCACACGCAGCTTTAGGCGCTGCGGACGAGTGTCTGTACCAATCCCACGTCAAGACCACACGTTAGCAAACACGGACACCTTCTACTCCACCGCGAAGCAGTACAAATTGTGAGATCGGGAAATGACTGCGGCCGGGCGAGTTCCGGCCGAGGTCTAACTGCCTTGAGCTTGCGAGAGATGGCTGACCGAGGGCTCTGATTGGTCGGTCACATTCCCCGCGCGTTAGTGCCCAGAAGATTGATAGAGACTACGGAGTGACAGGAGGGTCTCGGCGGGTCAAAATAAACCGCCTGCCGAGGCCTCCGAAGTTTCATAGTGGGTACACTTTATGCCCAGTAGGAGTTCGGATTTAGGACGAAGCTTCGTCCGATTGTAGGATCAGCTCGAAAGCTCGGTCCACACTTGATATTTGTATAGACCTTAGGGATTAGCTATAGGAGAGGCCTGACAGCCTCTAAATCATTAAACAGAGCAGAATTTCCCCCCAAGCCACACAAGGGTCAAGTCCGTCTACGGTAAGTCGCTAAGCTTAGCGTAGGGTCTGGATACACTCGGCTGCACGGGGTATGTCTGCCGGTGAGCATAAGGTGCATTGACCGAGTGTTCATCCTGGTAAGGCCAAGAGTGGGTAGGTGGCCGAGTGTTGGGAGGTATTAGAGACCTCTGTGTACAGTTGTACGTTTGACTGGGTGTGAGGCAAGGACCCCCCCAGTGTATTTGACTTCTAGCCGAGGCTTCGCCCCGGCGCCCCTGTAAGAGGCTTCGATGTGTCGTGTAGGAAAACACGAGTTTACGAGTCCTCGCCCTATCAACCGAAGTCTCTAGGACGAGCCCTACCAACAACACACGCCGTCTCCGAAGAGTCGGCGATAGATTGTCGGGATAATAAACCTGAAGACCAGGTCCGATCCCTTATACGGGCTGGAATGTGCCTCCCTGTGTGTTGCGGGTCAGGTAGGTTTACCCTTCGTTAAAATATAAGAGCACCCTTAGCCATGAGCCACGGCTAGGGTGCAATGTGTAATACGTGCTTTCGCACTAAACCTCTGTGGTCCCTCAGAAAGGAAGGGTACCAGGCCAATCGAAGCCTCTTACAGGGGCGCCGGGGCGAAGCCTCGGCTAGAAGTCAAATACACTGGGGGGTCCTTGCCTCACACCCAGTCAAACGTACAACTGTACACAGAGGTCTCTAATACCTCCCAACACTCGGCCACCTACCCACTCTTGGCCTTACCAGGATGAACACTCGGTCAATGCACCTTATGCTCACCGGCAGACATACCCCGTGCAGCCGAGTGTATCCAGACCCTACGCTAAGCTTAGCGACTTACCGTAGACGGACTTGACCCTTGTGTGGCTTGGGGGGAAATTCTGCTCTGTTTAATGATTTAGAGGCTGTCAGGCCTCTCCTATAGCTAATCCCTAAGGTCTATACAAATATCAAGTGTGGACCGAGCTTTCGAGCTGATCCTACAATCGGACGAAGCTTCGTCCTAAATCCGAACTCCTACTGGGCATAAAGTGTACCCACTATGAAACTTCGGAGGCCTCGGCAGGCGGTTTATTTTGACCCGCCGAGACCCTTCTGTCACTCCGTAGTCTCTATCAATCTTCTGGGCACTAACGCGCGGGGAATGTGACCGACCAATCAGAGCCCTCGGTCAGCCATCTCTCGCAAGCTCAAGGCAGTTAGACCTCGGCCGGAACTCGCCCGGCCGCAGTCATTTCCCGATCTCACAGCGGCCCCCAACTCGGCCCGAGCCGTCCCAAGTGGTGAGTGCCGTGTTACCTTCGTGCCTCTCTGCGCTCCGACGCCATGCAGTCCTCCGGCGGTCCTGGCAGCGCGCCGCCCTTCACCTTCCCGGACCTCGGTCCAGTCGTCCAGGTGAGTCTTCGTGCGAGGTGCCTGAGTACTGTGCTTGATCTCTTCATCGCGTCTAACCGTCTTCAACTTGCTGCATCTTGCTGCAGGACGCTCAATTGCGTGGCCCCACGGGGCAGGTCATCGACTCGTTGGCGCCGGCCTCGGAGGCCTCGGTGGTGCCAACTCCCGCTTTGCCGTCCGCTAGCGGGGCTTCGTCGGACCCTGCGTGTACTCAGCTGGTCCTCAGGTCCTCGCCCGACTCCAGTCCTCTGCACGAGCCTTCGTCAAATGCTGCACACTTCTGCCGCACGGGTGACCCGCTGCCTGCAACTGCGCACGAGGCTTTGGGACTTCCTCCGCGTTCTTCTGCGCAGTGGTGCGCTGTCGAAGACATCGTCCACCACGAGGTGCAGGCTGAGGTCGAAGAGCTCCGCGAACATTCGGAATGACGCTTCGCAAACTTCGCTCAGCTGATGGTCGGCTTGGTGCGTCACCGATGTGCCGTCCGAGCACCCGTACAACACAACCTTCGCTCCGTGTAACCCCAGGGTCCCTCGTCCCGCGTGGCATGACTGTTCGTGAAGTCGCGACAGCTATTACGGTCAACCCAGTGCTGGACCCTCGCCGTGCTACGGCTCCGTGGGTGCGTGAATTCACGAACTTTCACGGGTCTCCTTTCGGTCTGCAGGAGGACGGGCAGCCGGGTGAAGACGAAATCTCGGAAGCGGAGGAGGTCGAGGAGCTGATCGAAGAGATCGAGTCTCCGGTTGCTGAAGAGTCTTCGGAAGAGGTTCAGGACGAATCTCGCCGCGCCGTGGATGCTCAAGAAATTTCGGGCGAAGCTACACAAGCGCTAGGAGCTCATAATGCAGCAACAGCAACGCAGGACTCGGTTCAAGATCGCGTCGCGGCTTCGGAGGCCCCTGTTGAGGAGGCCCCAGCCAGCGAGACTCCGGCTGACGCGCCACGTTCGCCTCCAAGTGCTGCTGATCAATCTGCCGCGCAAGCCGAAGTTTCTCCGGCTGCGCGTCTCCGCGATTTTGGCCAAGGTTGCCTCGTCTTCGGACGCCTAAGCCTCGTTCCAGTTCTCCATCGTTCCTTCATGTTTAGGTCGAGCTAGATCAGGGTATTCAGACAGTTCGTTCGTAGTATAACTAGCTCGCCCATGCAATTCAGTAGTCGTTTGTCCTTCTTCAGCTGTTCTCCATAGTTTCTCCAGTCGTGATCTCGACTTCGTAAAGTCTTGTCCACTTCAACAAACAAATATACAATCTTCTTTCCGCAGTAACATGTTTCGTCTGCTGGGGCAGGCTGTGTAGCCCTGCCGGCAGTTCATCATTGTGAGAGGGGTGCAACTAGTCCTCGTCAGCGACTTGGACCATTTGCAACCTTCGATCACGTCGTTTCTCGCGTAGATAGTCATACAGCAGTCCGCCACAAGACAGATTCGACGCGGGCTCCCACGAGGGTTCGTCGTAGCCAACCCACTTCACCTTGAACTCTCGGACGGCTCGCTCAGTGCTCGTCGAGAGGGGAATTCGGTCATCCAAGATGGCTTCAACCTCATACTCGCCCGCCAGGTGGTCGGGTTCCCAACTATCCTCCGGGAGTAACTCCTCGTCGAAGTCTAGTCGCATCTCTTCGGTAACCTCAGCGGCGAGTCGAGTCTTCCGTCGATCGCCAAACTCGTTCACCGCCTTCAACCGAGACACATGCAATACCGGGTAGAACCGATAACCACTCTTGGCAGGCAAATCCAATTCGTACGCATACTCGTCAACCTTCTGTTTGATGCGGAAGGGACCATGCCATCGATGGGCCAACTTCTTGGTCAACCCGGGCTTGACGCGTTCCATGTAAAGCCACGCACGATCACCAGGCTGGAAGAGAGACTTCGGTGCGGGGTCTGGTGAGTCACCCTCACCCTCTGCACCTGTCGGATCACCTTCCGAGGTTTCACCAGTCGCGGAAGGTGGAAGCGCAGCACGTTCCGCTCGGCTCAAAGCCTCGTTATGCTTTTGGGCACGCCGAGCTTTCTCGACTGCTTGGTACTCTTTAGCCATTTCCAACGCAACCTCCTGTTGCCTGTTGACCTCTCGGCGCCACACCAATGCATCGGACTGTCGCCCGACACCTCGCTTCAGTGATGAGGACATTGCTCGGAGGGTGGACCTTGCGTCCCATCCGTGCACCAAGTAAAAGGGTGTGTCCTTCCTCGTGGCGTCCTGCGAGTTGTTAAGCGCAAAGATCAACTTCTCCACAATCTCATCCCAGTCTTGTTGCAGCGGGTCCTCCGCGTACACTCGCACCGATTGCATTACGGTCTCGACCGAGCGTTTCTGCTGGCCGTTAGCCTGCGGCCGATAGCTCAACGTAGCCCTAGATCTCGACTGCATCATCTCGGCGAAGGTTTGGAAGACCTCGCTCATGAAGCGCGGGTCTCGGTCATGCCTGATCAGAGACGGCGCTCCGAACCTTCGGTACACGCACTCTTCGAATGCTTGTGCTACACAGAGTGCAGATGTGTCCGCCATCGCCTTGCCCATGACGAATCCAGTGAACGCACACTGAAACAGTAGCAGTGCGGAATTGCCCCGCCGAGTCTTCGGTAGGGGTATCACAAAATCCATCGAGACAATTTGTAGCGGACGCTCGGCCAGAATGTTGCCTGGGGAGTACCCACGTAGCTGCGGGCGACTCTTGCTTGAGCTACAGTCTGGACACGAGCGTACGTGTTTCTCCACATCGGCGAACAAGCCAATCCAATGGTAGTCAGCCTTGACTCGGTGGTAGGTTCGGACGATACCTTGGTGACCGCCTTCCAACGAGTCATGACAGTTCTGTAGGATCTCCTAAACCATCGTTGTTGGCACCACTAGGCGTAGTGTCGTCTCCTCGGCCCGGTCGCGACCCCACCGACGGTTCGCACCAAGGAAATACAGCAAGCCATCTTCGCTTAACACGAACTTGTCAGCCATCTTCCAGGCTTTGCGTGCAGCTTTGTAGGCAAGCTTCGCTTCGTCTCCCTTTAGCACCGTCTTGAGGTTTGACCACCGGAACTCCTCATCCTGGGCTGTGCCAATGCGCCTGCGCCGTTCTTCCTGCACAACTAGCGGGTCGATGTCGTCAGCACTCGGTTTATGGACCACCGTTGCGTCAGGTCTCGGTTGGTCCGGAAGTTCGTTAGACTCTTCGTTGCTGGCGTCGTTAGCTTCGTCTCCTTCTGTTCTCTCTTCTGGTTCATCACCCGAAGTTTCATCGGCAAAGCGTACTTGTTTCGCACGCGTGCGGGCTTGTTGCCTCGTTACCGCGGCTACATGTCCAGTATCCCGTACAAAATCGAAAAAAATCTTACTACGGTCCCTGTCACGCGTATCCATCACACGTATCGAGTTCACGTGACGCGTTACGACTTCTCCAGAAGCTTCAGAGGCTTCGGCTGACGGTTCATAGAGCACTTCTCGGATCCGATTCAATTCCATCAACTCTCGTTTTGGGTCTTCGCCGTTCACCGTCATCGACACCTTCTTCTCCAAGGTTTCGCTCGCCAATGAGTCTGCGGCTGCATTGAACTCTCGGATAGCATGTAGGTACTTCACGGACCGAAGTCTCGCGGTCAGTTCCTTGTGCTTATTCAGTTGTGCCATCAGCGACTCCTTACGGCAAGCGATCACCCCTAGGGATTGCTGGATTGCGAGTCTCGAGTCCCCGACGATGACTAAGTCCTCGGCCCCATGTTCCAGGGCGGCAGAGACCCCGTTGTTCATTCCGGTGTACTCAGCGAGGTTTACAGTCGTGGTCTCGAGATACGCACTCGCAGCGATCACTACACTCCATTCCGGAAGTCGCCATAGTATCCAGGCGCAATGCCGTATCCACCATGCTTCTCGGTCTTCGCCGAGCCATCAAACGAAAGTACGTAGCCACTGTAGGTACGTGGCAACCGTGCATAAAGCAAATGCGGATCTATCCGAGCACTCGGCGAGCCTTTGGCTCGAGGGGTCACAGGTGCCAACGAGTCTTCGAGGTCAACGAAACTTGCGATCATCGACTGTAAAAGCTGCGCGAAGGCGCAATCCTTTTCCTTGACTCGTTGCACCACTATACTCCACGGAGACAGTAAGACGGCAAATTGCGTTGCGCGTCCGAAGAGCGTCTTCGACTTGTGGACCCAGTCGAGCGTCGAGAACCGCGTGTAGACATGTATGGTCCGACCGGCCAGCTGGGTGTAACACACCTTCAACAGCTGTAGCAAAGCCAGTACCTCCTTTTCCGCCGGGTGGTAGTTCATCTCGGCCTCCTTTAGCAGTCGGCCGCAGAAACGCACCGGGTGCATCAGGCCATCGTGCTCCTGCATGTGCGTGGTGCTCACTGCCCATTCATTTGCAAACAGCGTCACATGGACCTCTCGGTCACGGTCGAAGTGTCGGAGGACAGGTGCCTCACCGACCTTTCGTTGCAATGCCGCGAAGCTTCGCTTGGCTGCAGAGAGGTCACCCCCTGGTGCGAAGTCTTCGTCTCGCAGCTGGTATAGCGCGGCACCGTAGACAGCAAAGTCCTGTATGAAGCGGCTGTAGTAGTTCAGAGCGCCAAGGAAAGCTTGCACTCCCTTCTTGGACCTTGGGAAGGACAGCTCGGTGATAGCCTTCAACTTCTTTGGGTCCGCTCTAATACCACTCCGGGACACTTCGTGAGACAGGAAGTCCACCTTGGGCTGCACGAAAATGCTCTTGGTGAAACTCACGCTGATCCGACATTCCTCGAACCGGGCGAGGAGTCGGTCGAGCGTCGCTAGACATGCATCGAAAGACTCGCCGCCAAAGCAAATATCGTCAACGAACGAACGCCGTTCGAAAACCGGCACCAACGAAGACTCGTCGGGCTCTCCATTCGCAAACATGTCCGCAATAGGACTGTTGATTAATTCCGAGACCGATCTTTCGCGCGATCCGAGTCCACGTCCCGCTTCAAACTTCGTAGGCGACTGGTCCGGGTCGGTCGACTCTTCATGTGACTGTTCGGTCGAGGCGTTGGCAAGTTCACGGTCGCGTGCTTCAGCTTCTGCCATCAGACGCGCGTAATGCTTCCAGCCACCCTTCGGTTGAACAAAGCCCCACAGAGCGTTGTCGAGCATTCGTTGGTAGATCATAGATACATTTTTAAGCCCAAAGGGCATTCTGAGCCACTCGAAATGACCCAGTGCACACACAAAAGCAGAGATCTGACGAGCCCTCTGTGTCATCATGATTGCCCAGAACCCACTCGCCGCATCAAGCGAGCAGTACCACAGGTATTTCTCCAGGTCTGTGAGCAGATCATCCACAAGGGGCATTGCATACTCCATGATAGCGGTGACTGCGTTCACCATCTTGTAATCAATGCATAGTCTGATATCTACGCCATTCTTCCTCAGCACAATCACGATCGGTGACGACCATGGGCTGTTGGAGAACGCGATCAGACCGGCCTTGAGCAAACCTCGCAAAAGCTCGTAGAGCTTCTTGAGGTGTCGGAGGGGAATCCTCCGTGCTCGTTGCTTGATAGGCGCATGGCCCTGTACATCGATGTCGCACACTACACCATACGCAGGCGGTGGTAGAGCATTCCCACTAGAGATCATGACCTTCTCATGTTTCTTCAGAACCTTCACTAAGCAATCCTGCCGTCCTCTACTCAGTTCCGGGTGCCGGACATTCTCAGCCGAGTAGTCCAGTTCCGTGACAGAGGCTTCTGTAAGGTCGGGCAGGAAAGCTAGTTCATGAGCGTAATCTTCCAAGTTGATCTCATTCGGCAAGTGTTCGGCTCGGGCATTGCCAGCTTCGACGTCAGCTTCTCCATCCTCAACGTCGACAACGGCGGCGGCCGACAGATAATTGCGTGTCAGCACTGCTACCGAGTCCTCATCTTGGACTGAGTCTTCGGACCCCGGGGACTGTTCTCTATCACCCCAGTCTGAACGGTCTTCCGTTACGTCAGAGGGTTCGGCTGGCACTTGGCTCGCTATCACCCCTAGGTCCGAGGCGTCGTCATCGGTGCTGGCATCCGAAGCTCCTTCACTCTCAGACTCGATTGAACCTTCGGTACTAGTGTCATCGGCTTCCACGTGCACGGGAGGGAGCG